ATCAGGAGGAATATCCACGTGTTAACAGACAAAAAAACTACTGAACCTAGTGTTTGACTCTGGAACATGAATGATTCTGATGAGTCCGGAAGCCCCAAAGCCCCCAAGTGGTCTCTGGGTCATTCTTTGGGCTGCTGACAGTACAGCATATATGGAAGGTGACAAGGGACAGCAAGTCTTTACATGAGCAGGTATCAGTAACTGGACTTACTGCAGGAACCAGCCAACCAATATGACATATGACTGTTTTGTGTGATTCTTGACAGTGCCTTTTTGTAAATAAACCAAACTAAATTAAAAGGCTACATTAGATATCAAATTAAAACAAACATTTGTCAAACTGGACTGAGGTAAAATTGTTTTTGTGTTACAAAAGATGGTCATAATAATGATAATAGGATTAATCTCATAATTATTTATGTTTTAAGCTAAATTAAGTATAAGTGGTATTACTTTAATGGAAGTGGAATAGACATGAAAGGGATTCAAAATATGTACATTATAGTTGGATTTCATCAGTCTCATCCCAAAACACTGTTATCAGGTTAAAGTCTCATCAGCCTCTTCATATACATTCTTTCTTTGTTGATGTGTGTCTGTCAGGTACCTGGAGTCGTTCTTCATCTCTCTGACCTCCATTGAGCAGGACCTTCAGCACAACCTAGTGTCCATCAGACTGAACCAGTCACAGACCGTTAAGCTCCAGGTGGCCACAGCCTCCAGGTATAAAGCACATAGAGAGATCATATCTCTCCCATATTAGCTTCTCTCCACTGGCTCCCTGTAAAATTCAGAATAGAATTTAAAATCCTTCTCCTAACATACAAAGCCCTTAATGACAAGGCTCCATCGTATCTTAAAGACCTCGTAGAGCCTTATCACCCTAACAGAGCACTTCGCTCTCAGAGTGCAGGTTTACTTGTGGTTCCTAGAGTCCACAGAAGTAGAATGGGAGGCAGAGCCTTTAGCTATCAAGCTCCTCTCCTATGGAACCAACTCCCAGTCTCAGTTTGGGAGGCAGACACCCTCTCTACCTTTAAGATTAGACCCTAATCTGAGACAATATAAGAAATATTCTTCCACATATAAACCCACTGGTTTCTTGATCTGTAAAGTCAGTGGGCATTAACATCTTATCTTGTAGTACATCTCCATATGTTCTGGGTTTTCCTGTGACATGACCTCCACCTCCTTTGTGACCACAGTAAGGCTCAGTGCAGCTCGGGGAAGGTGACCACTCTGAAATGTCTCGGTGAGAAAACATTCCGCTCTTTGTGCTACTCTGACTCTATTTTCAATGAGGATTTAAGATGGAGTTAAGAAGAGCTCGTGTGCTCTTTTATGGCCCTGCATGGCATGCAAATGTGTGTTTTTCTGTGTGTGTATGCTCAGACAAGAAGTTTTTATTTTTAAATCATTTTAAAAACAACTGTAATTCATGATGTTCGTGTGAAACACTGTTGTAAGCAAACTGCAAGAGTTTAATAACCTACCTGATATGGAATCTGTATCTGTGCACATGTGTGTGTGTGTGTGTGCACATGTTCTAGGGTTCAGCCAGTGTGGACTCTAAGGTTGACAGCAATAACTGTCACAACTGCTCATAGCTGATAATACTCTTAGATATTTACAAGCTTTAAAGAGGAGCCCCACCAATTCTACACATAAAGGACAAATGACTTGTCATCAGAGATAAATCTGTGAAAACCCTGATGTAATGAAAATAATCCTCATGATGTCTTATCTTGGACAGAGAACTGTGTAAAAGTGAACATTATAATTAAAAGAGCAGTAGGTCAGGAGTGTCCAATAAAAGGAATTATGGGAAAGCTTTTTTATATGTTAAAATAAGACAAGTGTCTGCTGCACTTGTCTTCTAAGTCCTGCCAGTACTATGGAAGTGCAGTAATAAACCACTGCTGTACCGCATTAGATTCACAATTTGGGAACAAATTTCCACTTGTAAATTTGTGTTTCTTCCAGACCTTTCCTCTGTCGAGCTGATAAAGTACTGAAACTTGACTTGAGGAATTATTTTATTGATCTGAAAAAAATCAACTGGACTAGGTTTCTAGATCGAAGACGTTTCACCTCTCATCCAAGAGGCTTCATCAGTTCTATTTTCTATTCTATTTTACTGATTACAGCTTTCTACAGCATAGCAATTCACAGCACCTGTCTCAGTGATTGAAGACACATTTGATGGGTCGATTTAATACGTTGAATATCATTGTGGGTTTTCCAGGGCGTTTATGTCAAAGACAATTGAATATCATTGTGGGTTTTCCAGGGCGACAACCTTCTCAGTCCATTGTATGTGAATCGGCATTGGGATTGTGTGATAGTCATTTCTCTGTCCTCAGAGTGTGGCACCAGGCCTAAGTACAACACTCGTATTGTTGGAGGTAACATCTCCAAACCAGGTCAGTTCCCCTGGCAGGTCAGTCTCCACATCAATGGTGAACATGTTTGTGGAGGCTCCATCATAACATCACATTGGATCCTTACCGCAGCACACTGTGTGTACGGGTGAGTCATACGATCTCAATTAATCTGCATACGAGATATTACTGTGCCGACACCCAGAGGAAATGTGTAATACAGAAATTTAACTATTAGATGGTATAAATTTGGCTTGTATGTGTCAAGTTTCAGATATGGAAACTGTAACGTGAGGAGATTAGACCTAAATTGTTTGTGAATTAAATGAAGGAGTTCCCAGAGTAGGTACAGGGGGTCTGACAGTCAAGTCAAGAAGACAAGAATCTTTACTGTCATTGTTCATAGCACAATGAAATTTTTTCTGGCAGCTCTCGGCTTAAAAGACAGACACATTATTTACATAACACACAATTGTATAAGTCAATATAAAAATATGAACTAATAAAAAGGGATGTATGGGACCTAATGAGGTCAGCAGCATGTTAGCAGCAAGAGTGTAGTAACATTATGAGGTGCAGCTCAGTGTAAATCTCAGTCTTTAGGAAGAGGTGTGAGGTCCAGGTCTGTGTCTGTCCATAGGGGGGAGGTTGTGTTGTGTGACTAGGGGATGGGGGGTGATTGATTACACAGCTCTGGGGAAGAAGCTGTGTCTCAGTCTGTTTGTTTTAGTCTTTATATTCCTGTACCTTTTCCTGGAGGGAAGAGGCACAAACAGACTGTTGCCTGGGTGGGTGGGGTCT